TAATATTATGTTTCCATTGCCACATCTCCTGGCAACATCACCACCGTACAAAGCATTCGCTTCCTCACTATTTACGTAAGATTATTCATATATTTGAATTTTTGTGTGTGTTTTTGTTTTTTCTATTTTTTGCGTCCTCTTTAGTTTTTCTCTAAGACGGCGAGAAGGCCAACCAACATTCCAGTTCATTTCATGTATGAACATGAAATACTTTAGCCAGATGTATGTCGACATTCTTCTTAAATTGTGTATACATTTACATACTTTACGAACACAGATTGTCGTGAGTCGGTATGTTTGTCAATGTTCTCATTTTTTTGGCTTTGTGGAAAGTTTTTAGCACAGCGACAGGATTAGTTTTAAATTAAAGGAAAATAATTTGCCAACGGCCGAAGATATATCGAACTCGAAGGTTTTGCGTCTTTACCGGGACCGTTTGTTATCGGATGGTGATATTAAAGTTTCATTCTGCTTCATTCGCAGTTTTTCTATATTGAGAAGTCGCTGATTCAAAACCTGTTAGGAAAGAACAAAAGTCTGGCGACCGACAGACCATAGCGACGAACGGAGGGCCCAGTAGTGGAAGTCTCTAACTCATTTTTTGAGTTACCGACAAAAGTCGGTAAAATTAAAATGCTTATAATTTCGGTAATATACGAAATTTGTCGGAAAGCTGGGTTTCAAAGTAATCGTTTTTGGCGGTAACTAAAATTTAGAGTTAGAAAATTCCACTACAGGCCGCCTTCTGAATGGTTATTTTCTTTAATTTTTATTCCCTCAGCCAGATGGCTAGAGAGGGTATATATAATTTGATACGGTCAAAACGATCCTTATCGAAATAACGGCTTTAGACCTTATGTCTCTTAGGAGCAAATACGTTTCAGGACATTTGGAGTCGATCTAGCGATATCCGTCCGTAGCTCTCAAAGGGAGTATCCGGTTTGATCCAAACTTAGTACATCGTAAAACTCTTGTTAAACTGAGATCGAGTTCGGCAAGGGACAATATCGGACCACTCCTTCTGGTACCTCCTCCACAAAATGTCAACATTTTCAAAGAAAATAATTTACTGCACAGAAGAAAGGATAATCTGATTTTGCTTCAACTAAGCAACTCCTAATATTTGCATCAGTGCTAGGTCAGGTGCGAATATGGACAATATCGGTCCACTACATCAGGTACCTCCCCCACAAAGGGTCAAAATTTTGAATAATTTTAACTCTAAAAAAATACGATGTAAGAGTCCAATTGTCTTACATCCACTTCTTCTGGTACCTCCCCCACAAAGGGTTAACATTTTGAATACCCATGAAGTTCATAAAACGCGAAATTAACATCCGATTCCATGCAGACTTGGTACATCTCAATATTTCCATAAACACAAGATCTGTTATAAAGATGGTAGAGATTTGACCATTCCTTCAGCACCTCCCCCACAAAGGGTCAAAGTTTTGAATAACCAAAATGATCATAAAATCCGAAATAAGCATCCGGTTCTTTTTAAATTACACACATCACATTATTTTTGTTAAACTTAGGTCTGCTGTGAAGATGGAGTATATTGGTCCACTCCTTCTGGTACCTCCCCTGCAAAGGGTCAAAATTTTAATTATTCATGAAGTTCTTAAAACACGAAATTAACATCCGATTCCATGCAGACTTGGTACATCTCAATATTTCCATAAACACAACATCTGTTAAAACACAACCATTTGAAAAAAGGTCAGATACGAATTGGACAATATTGGCCAACTGATTCGAAATATTCCCCATAAAGGGTCAACAGTTTGAATTATAACTCAAGGCTGGGGGTATAAATTTGCCGGCAAAACCGACTGATATTTTACTTGTTTTTTAAACATTTTTCATTTGTTTGCTAGTTGTCCAACCATCCCGGTATGGGTCCGAATCTTTATAAATCAGATTAGAGGGAAATCAATATCGATGTGCTATATGTAAAGCTGAAGCGATTTGCAAAAAAATTGACGAAGATATATCTAGGCTGTTTGTACCAAATATCAATGTTGTGGAGAGAATAATAGTGCCTTAGGTGTATTAAATATATTGTTTAGGGGGGTCACAACCTATATCTGAAGCATTTTTTTGGTCTGAATTTGAGCATCATCGACACGAATGTTCATCTGGAGAATGATATTATCCATCCATGTAGGGAACAGTGTGATTGTGGTCCTTATGGCAGATAGTTTTTTTATGTTCATCAGATGAATAAACTGAAATGGGTTCTCAACTTCGAGTCTTTTGTAATATCTTATTTTCCTGCGAAATTGTAAATAATGTAGTGGGCCAATGAGGATGGGTTATAAATGCTCCCTAAACTGTGACGTATTAATGTGTATTGAAAGAGCACTATCAGTTTTAAAGAACAAACAAAGAACTTTGATAAAATCAATTTTAATATTTCGTGAAACGTCATAGTTCTTTGACGGATTAGATTAGCACGATTAGGAATTTTTGCGCAAAAAAAGCCACATAAATATTGACACATATGTTTTGTAGACTATTGAGTTTTTATGGATTCTGATAAGCAAGAATACGTGCTACCTACTTATTGCCTTCATCCAAAGCTACCATGATCGATTAAAAATAATAATAATAAAAAAACAATTAGGAAAGGTAAAAAGTCGGGCGGGGCCGACTATGTGATACCCTACACCACCAGGCATATTTAGTAGACCTTCGTAACAAAAGAATTTATATTCGGAGTTTATATGAAGAAGATCATACCAATTATTTGAATGAGTGTCATGGCTTTAGAGCAGTTAAAATTTGCTTTCAGAAGGAATTACATTGTAAAATACATATATCTTAGCCGAGCTCCACCAATTGGAAACGTACGTCCCAAAGTTCGCTCGATTTGGGCTGATATTAACCGTTAGGTATACAATAAACTTAAAATCGGATAAAGATACATGTGGGAGCTATATACAAATCTGAACCGATCTCGATAAAATTTGACAGATCTATATCTGGGCTCAGTGAGATATCTGGTACCAAATATCATTGTTGTGGAGTGCATATTACGAATGTCAGGGTCTTAAAAACCAAATCGGTTGAAACATACATATGGAGCTATAGCTAAATCTGAACCGATTTTCACCAAGTACTGGCTGGATTCGCTCGTACGCGCCTAAATTCACTCCCTTTGGACAGATATTAGCCATTTAGTACACAATAATCCTGGAATCGGATAAAGATACATATATGGGAGCTATATTAAAATCTGGACCGATTTCGATAAATTTAGCTAGAGGTATTTCTGACCTGTATTTGATATATTTTTCCAATATCGTTGTTAAGGAGTGCATATTACGGCTGTGGAGGAGAAATTTAATAAATCGGATGAAGAATATATATGGGAGCTATAGCTATATCTGAACCGATTTCCAACTAATTCGGCACGCTTGTTTCTAGGCTTAATTTAGTTATATGTGCCAAATTCCATCCTATTAGGGCTAATATTACACATTTGGTGCACAATAAAAGGTAAATCGGCCGAAGATATATATGGGAGCTATATCTAAATTTTGACCGATTATCTCCAATTTCAATAGGGTTCGTCCTTGGACCAAACAAATGTTTTGTGTAAAGTTTCATCTTGATCGGACTATTGATACGACCTATACTTTGTTTACAAAATACATGGACAGACGGACATGATTAAATCGACTCAGAATGTGATTCTATACAGATCATCAAAAGGAACTATGGGTCTAACTCGAAGATCATCTCTAGTAAAAACTCTCTACCGCTCTCCAAATCATTTTCCAGAGGTATATATTTTTAGCAGATTACTGGATTCAGGAACTTTCTTGGTGGGGTCGTACCTGCGTGCCCGTGTATTTTGACCTGTAAGTATGGGACCCGGACTAGAATTATAGATATATGACATAATATATTTATAGATTTTGGGGATTCTAAAATTTATACCTTTGTAAGTTGATTAAGACTTTGGCCAGCGGCTTGGATTTTCTCTACTGAGGTATGAACGACAGTACTGCGATATTTTTATGTGACCGGCTTACGGACCGAGTATGTCCAACACCAGCTACGCAAAGTAAAATGTGTTAAATGCATAATAGCATTTCCATGAAAATTAAATGTACGAATGGTTTGTACGGATTTAAAAACTCATATCAAAATATCTTCGTTTAGAATTTTTGCTGTTAGAATTATGTCTCAGGATGTTAGAATTCGAAGACTGATAAATCTGAAAATAGTTAAGTTAAAAACGTTTACCTATACATTTTTCAAACAAAGCACCTAAATATTCATCCAATATCACAATGTTTATCATAAATTAATGAGTTCCCTATTACGATCTACACAATACAACTACAAAGAATATTAAATACGTACAGTGTGACAAAAACAAATATAAATATTACATGTCGGGAGATTAAATTATTCATTGTTCCATATCAACAACAACAACAACAAACACAAAGCCACCATTTTTTGACGTTACAGATACACTTTTTTTGGGGGAGTATTTCTAGGGGCTTATCAACGCTCTGTCGAAGCCACTTATCAGCCCAAAACAGCAATTCATTCACATTTCCATTAATTAGATGACAATGGAATAGAACAGCCAATTTCTTTTTTGTTTTTGGTACTTTCCTAAAAAGCCGTCTCCTGTGGATATTCAACTTGAACTTAAATGATTCACTTGGCTGATGCTGCTGACGATGATGCACCACATAGTGGGAATAACACAACAAATTTACAAATACACTTGTGAGTGGTAACATACCGTACCACCTATTCGAGATACATTGCAAAGCAGTAGTATATATGCCTCTGGGACATATACTTTGTTGTTGTTTTTCTTTTTTTCTTCCAATGTTTGGTAGGTATATACAACAATGACACGAAGAAAAAGTGTAATTTACACTCACGACGACAACGACGACGTCAACGGCAACAACGTATGCAGCTATCATAGAGAAAAATCAATAGATTTTTTGGACAATTCAACGCACCTTTTTAGAAAATGTTCTTTCGATGTTTTTAATTTGTTTATAGGGTATATTACACAAATACTTTTCCAATCACTTTTGAAAATAAGTTATTTCACAAAATTAATAACAAATTTTGATGCGGAATCGCACAAACTCACCCTCTCCTGCAATTGGAAAAATTTGCAAATGAAAATGTCTCTATTATAGGGATGTATAAGTCGATTTTTGTAAACAATCGAAAAGTCGGTTAAATGGCAATAAAACGATGTTATCGAACGAATATAATCGCATGTGAACAGTGGTTCAAAGTTTTCTTTATTTTAGACTTTAGCATTCATTTAATACTACGACAACCGAATTTCTTTTTAAAAATTCTAAAAAAATTAAAACAACTTATTGCATTTCACTTGAAAAATTCTGACAGGAAGTTGGCATAACCGCAGTACTTTATTTCCGTATACTTTTATACCCTCCACCATAGTATGGAGGGTATATTAAATTTATCATTCCCTTTGTAACACCTCGAAATATACATTTTAGACCCCACAAAGAATATATATAATCTTGATCAGCATAAAATTCCATGTCGATTTAGCTATGTCCGTCCGTCTGTGCAAATCACTCTAGCTTCCGAACGAAACGAAGTGGATTGATAAAATTTTACTCAAATGTATATTATGTCTGCAGAACTTTCGTTATTGAAAATGGGCCATGTAGGTCCACGTTTTGGTATAGCCCCCATATAATGGTACCTCCTTATTTTTGGTATTTTGATGATTTTAGCGACATTATTCAACGGAAATGTTTCAAATTTGGTATTTAAAGTTCGTAATGTATGGATGTCCACGTCTTCGTATAGCCCTTTTATAATGTTACCTCCCAATATTCGGTATTTTGATGACTTTATCCACATTATTCACCGGAATTGTTTCAAATTTAGTATCTGAAGTTCGTGACGCATACTACAGCCTATGAAAGAAAATTGTCTGTGCAGGTCCACGTTTTGGTATACCTCCCTATATTCGATATTTTAATGATTTTAGCGAAATTTTTCACAGGAATTGTTTCAAATTTCGTATTTAAAGTTCGAAAGCAGGTCCACGTCTTCGCATAGCCCCCATATAACGGTTTTCATTTAATTGGTAGTTCTCGGATTTTTGTTTTAAATATTCAAGTTTCTTCCAAATGGTAGAGGGTATTAAAAGTTTTGCCCAGGCGAACTTACAGCTTTTTTGCATGTTTCATAAAGAGAAATCGGTTATCGCTCGGTTCAGTTGCAGTTCGGGAACAGACCATTCCATAACTGATCGAAAAAAAATGCGAAACTAGTAGATTCCTTGCAAATATGAGGCATTTATGCAATTGAAAATTAACCCACTTGGTTTACTTAACAACTCTTCTAAACTTAAGACGCCTGTAAGATCTGTCTATGCCAAGGTGTATTAAATTGGCCACGATCGAAAATTTCAGTAATAGTCGGCTTGGATTAGGAACTCATTTATATAATTTCTTTTCTCAAAATTTTGACGTACTTTTCTTTTACAATTTGTTCTTCATAAATACCTATTATGACTTTCTCTCAATTAACGCGAAATTCAAAGCAACAACGTCTCATTCCCATAACCAAAGAAATTATTCGAGATATGGCTAATTTCAGTAGATCTTCTTCGGATGCCAGTGTTCAAAGCAAAGACAATTATAAAAGCCTAGTTCAAAGGGAAATTCAAAAATTTTGGCAGGAATCCTATTTATCTAGCCAACTTGTCAACAGAGATTAAATGGAAAGATATGTAAAGAAGTGGTTGGAAGAAAATCTACCGAAACAAATAAGCACTATAAGCCATTTGGAAAAACGCGTAAAGAAACTCGAATTATTGTTGGAGACAAAAAATAACTTTGAAAAGGAAATTAAAGATTGTTGCAATGAAAATTGTACTTTGATAAAATCAGTAGATACAGCAACGGGCAAATTGAAATCGAACGAATATGGAGAAAAGTATTTTAAAAGAAGACAATATTCGAATCTATCCTAATTAAAAAAATACAATACTTCTTTCATCTTATCTTCAATTTAATTCCAAAATTTCACTTTGTAGAGATTACAGTACGCAATCAAAAAGAAAAACGTAATATCTTTTGAATAACAAAATATAATAAATATATATAATTTACATACATATGTAGTTCTTTACATTGTAACATCTTTTAAAACACTATCGCTTATATTGAACAGAGCATCTTCGTCATCCTGCAGAAGACCTTCAGGGTTGGGTGAATTTTTGCATGCATCCAAGACATCATTTTCATCCTCCTTATTCAATAACATTGTGAACGGCGAGCGCTGCGAACAGTTATCGTCATTTGAATGTTCACCAATTAATGAGTTCTAAATAAAGTAAAAAGGGTTATAAATGTATTGAAAAGCTATATGTTGGGGCAATCAGGACTAAAAGGACTGTAAGTCCTATCTGATGTCCTTACGGAAATTTGTTCTCCAACTTACATTATTGCAGCTGACATTGTGATCAATCATGGAGTTATCGTTTAATTGAAGTTTTGGAATATTGAAATCCTGTGCGGTAACCAATGGTTCCAAACGTCCCGATGGGCTAGTGCTAAGATTGGCAAAATTCATTGAGGCATCCTGCACCTTCTTCAATGCTCCTATTTTCTTCATACCAGACCACGAAGTAGATGATGAACTATTGCCACTTGTGGTATAGGAATTGTTATCCCATATATGGCCAGAAGTTCGTGCAATGCGTGTACGTTCATTCGAATTGAATGGCGTGAATGGTGACTGTACCATTGTGGGTGAACCACTGCTGGTAGCAAAAGATGATGATTTTTTGGTTACCGTAGAAGTGGTTGAAATATCTGCCATATCGGAAAATAGAGATTGACGTCGAGCAATAGTAGTGGAATCCGCCTTGCTGGTACAAGGCGTTTTAAAGCCATTGGGAGAATCTGTAACAATTATTGTTGGAATTTCATCATCTCTGTCAGCAAGCAATGATTGTCTTTCTTTCCACCGGCTACCCAATCCGGATATGTTTGATTTCGGTGTGGTCACAACTTTTGAACTATCCTTGTTAATGGATCTTAACAATTGCATGGGATCTATTAATTTTGAACGATTCATAGACGAATTTAAATCCACATTTGATTGATCCGCTAGGCTGCAATTAAGTCTTGGTTGGCGTATTGTTCTTGGTGGAGCTGGAAAGGATAAAGGAAATAAACATTATTCTGGCATGGTAATACTCGAAAGCAACAATATTTACCTAGGAAGCTATTAAATGTACTGACATTTGCGTTTGCATTGGATTTGGAATCGATTAAAGACAACCGGGAAGGCCCATGTTGTCCCTCGGACATTTCAAATTTTATCGGTGGAGTAGATACGTATTTCAACAATAAGTTATTCTCCAAGTTACGTCTAGCACTGCCAAATTGTGTACCTCCACTGGCATGGGCAACACTATGTCGCACCGGTGTACGTGGTATATCATCATTGCGTTTCTTTCTACGGGACTTAATTACCATTAAAAAGTCGGTAATTTGACTTTCGATTTGTCTTAGATCTTTTTCAACTTCGGATAACCGGGTTTTAACAATTCCAGCTCGAGGACGTTTGTCGGCTGCGGATAACTCATTCTGTACAGTCTCATTGATACTATTAAATGCTTTGATCAAGGTATTGATGTTGACACTATCATCGCAAAGTATAGAAGCTGAAAGGGGGTAGGCAGGAGGATTTCTTAAAACTTAAAAATACACTATTTCATAGGGAAATTAACAATTTAAGACTGATGTATTTTTAAAACCTGTGGAGCCATTTAACAAATCTTCATTCACAAGGCTTTCAGGGTCAGGACCTCTTTCCATACTTACCTTCACTCAAATTCTCCAATGCGAAATTGTCACGTATACTCCTCAGTTGTTGGCGAACTTTTTGCGGCTCATATTTAAAACCACTTTCCTTGGAATAGAATCTATCCATGCTCTCCTTTAGCGCCACAACATGTTGCTCCATCTCCAAAATATTTTGGGTTCGGACAACGAAACGCTTCTCAAACAGTGCCGCATTGCTATCCTCAAAGTCAATGAGAAATCTATCATCGATTAAAGTGTCCACATTTAAATCTGTCTCCCCAGCAAGTTCCTCCAAATATTGACTCAGCAATTGAACCTTTTCCATGTAACGTTTGTTGATCACGTCAATGCTGGCAAGAAATTCGGATGCCATCTCCTTGGCCAGGGTGTCTTGTTTACACATTTTCTGTAAATTCTCATCTGTAACCAGCTCTCGATATTGTGTCGAATCAACATTCAATTGCTTCTCCTTTTGCTTTATCAACTCCTGTACAATAAAATGGACAAAGTCCAAAAGGAAACATATGAATTTCATGCCGCCGGGCATTACCACCAGATAGGACTTGATGTGTGTCCAATTCAATTGATGTTTCTCGTTCAAATACTTCAAATATTCCACGGTGCTGGTACGAAAATTCGACTCCGATCTTTTGTCGGTGATGGGCCAATAAAACCGTTTCCTAAATTCATTGGGATCGAGTAGGCGAAACAAGTAGTGCATGACTTGGAAGAATGCCTGTTGATTGGGCTTGACAAACATTTCGTCGGATAAGCATTTTTTTAAATCCTCGGTAGGTGGATGCAGCTGCGCCAATCCTTGGAGTTTGTTGTATAATATTAAGGAAAGCTCTTTTTCTTCGGCCCGGTAAGGAGCAATAATTGTGCGATCCATTTTTTTCAAATAATAAAAGAAATGAAGCGCCACCTTCGATAAATGTTATCGAAATGTGCAAAGAATAGGGACCCAAAGATCGTAGTATGCTACTGCCACTTTTTTTTAGTAGAAATCGATATTTTGTGGAAAATGGGTTTGGCCAAGGTGCATTCAAAAAGGTAGATGCATAACAATTTAAATATTTGTTTTACCAATTTGAGAGACTTTTGATCTGTTCCAAAACCTACAGGATTCTACTAGTTTTACTATTTTTTCGATATCATAAAGGGAAACTCATTTATTGTATTAAAACTCTTATATTCTTGCAGTTCTGGAACAGACCAAATGTTAAAGCTTGTTTGAATTTACACATGGTATCTTCCAGAACAGAAAATGATTACAAAACTTGCCTTTATGACATCAAAAAAAAAATGGTAAAACTAGTAGATTTCTGCAGATTCTGGAACAGAGTTTTTTTTAATAAAAATTAGGCTGTGACCCGGATGCTAGTTCAATAAAGATAATTGGCCTGTTCCAGAACCTACAAGAATCAACTATTTTTGCAATTCTTTCATATCATAAAGGGAAAATCGGTTTTAGTAGTAAAAACTTTTACATTCTTGCAGATCGGCAACAGGCCAAATGATTGAAGGCACCTTTGAGTGATCCTTTAACTTTGGGTGAAGGAGAACTTTTTTGTAAAAAATTGCAGAACTTGAGGATAAATATGGGGTTTTAGGAGACGCGCCTTAGAATGTTGAGTTTTAAGAAATTACTCGTGTGGACATAAAGGAACAGGGCTATTGTATAAATTCAAGGTATTGAGACTAGCTTACATTTATTGTCCTAGGTGTGGCCCTATCTGTGGAAAGAAATTGACCATTAAATTCTACATGGCTAATGTCGGTGATATTTCGTTTTATTTAATTTCAATAATAAATTTTCATAGCATTAATTATGCCCATAAATTACATTTGCAGGATTGTAGCATCTTTGCTTGTTGGCCTATTTTTTATTCTTCCGCGCCGATTACGTTTCCAAATTTAATTTTTGAATAATGTCCTGGTATGGTTTCTCACTCCTTTGGATGCATTGCTGCTTGCTGCAAAATAAAATGGGGAAAGTTAGAAATTTCAGTTTTATCTTACACATAAATATTAAGATCAGCACTGTTTCAGTTGTGTTTATCTTTAAAGTGAGTGCAGCCAGAAATCAAATGTTTGTTTGACCTTAAGTCCAATTGATTTCACGGTTGCAATACTTCTTGGCCACATGTCGCCAGGCTCGTTCCCCTGCGCACAGTTTCATCAGAAATACAAGTGGCCTAAAACTAATACTTATTAAATACCATATTACCGTAGTTGGATTCCGTTTCCAAGACGATGACAATTTAAGAAGGCCTTTGTGGCAATCAATAGCGGCATCACATTTCTAAAAGATTGTAGAACATCTCCATTTCCAAGACCATGGAATACGCCATTTAAAAAAGATGCCCTCCTTTATGCCAATGTATGGCCGCGCCACACCTTTACATTTCTGAAAGAATTTAAAACACTAATTACGGTACACAGTGGATTTTGAGGATATGAGTATGGGACGGTTAATTTCATCAGTAATGCAAATTTCTAAAATGAACACAACAAAGAAACAATGGTAGTTGACCTCGAGTCACATTGTTTCCTTTTGTTGGTCATTTCATGGCCACATTTTGCCATGTTCTGTACCCCTGCACAGAATCATCATATAGAAATGTTTATTTAAATGTTCGACGAAAACGGAATTAAGAATTTTTTGTTGCAATTTTACGTACCTCTTAATATATTACAGGAAGGGATTATATCAAGCCGTACTTTCACACAAACACAATATTCAGCTAAAAAACGCGCCATTTTCGTAGAAAACTGTCTGCAAATGAGCAATGAGAAATTACAAATGCCAAACATTTGAGGGATATGTAAGTCGACTTTTGACTTATCGATGTTTAGTAGCAAAAATCAATTAAGCAGTTCGTAAAATGATTGCCATAGCTTTGGTATTTGACGATAGAACTGCTGTAATCTTTCAATTGCTAATTTGCCGCAAAGTGCGTGAGCTTTGTGGAAAAGAGCTAAATGTAACAGAATTCTTCGATCCTCTGTTTCAAAAAAATTCACCTTTCTAAATTGAGTATTTAAGTGTTGGAAGATTTAGTTCAAGGGTAATAAGCTGTTCTCTAAAATGCATGCATCCTTTTTACTTATATTGATCTTTTCTTAGCCTATATCTCATTCCAAAACTTTTTCACACACACTATGGGATATGACAGAATTATTTTCGTTATTTCAAGTTATACGCCACGATAAAACAACAAGCATAAGGAGACAGATTTATCGATACTAAACGTCTAGTTTCCTTCCAAGGCACGGTTTTATCGACTCTAAACGTTGTTTTGCGTTGAAATGCAAAATTGCAGGGTGAGATGAAAAAACTGCAAACAATTTCAGACTGTTGCCATTTCTAAGCCACTTGTCCGACAGCTGTTAAAATTATTCCAGTACCAGCTCATTATATTGTTTACAGGCGTACAAAAGCATTTTGGTGAGAACTTTCCAGAAAAAAGTTATTCGTGATGGAATTCATGATTTTTTTATATTTGGCTGGGAAATCACAAGTGCCTATCGTTAGAGCACTCCATCATTTAAATCTAAATAAGTCTTTTGTGTCCAGCAACATCAGCAGAAATGGTTCGAAAAGTAAAGAAGCGACTTGATCAAAACCCGCTTCGCAGTGGCCGAAAAATGACATTTGAGCTGAACATATCGCAATGTTCCATTCGGCAATTATTAAAAAATGATTAAAATTCCAAAAAGTGCAAGAACTTACACCGCAACAGAAAGAAAATAGACTCAAAAGAGCTAAAGAGTTGCTTCGCTTGGCCGAAAGTGGTGAACTGCCGAATTTGGTTTTCTCCGTCTCCGATGAGAAAACATTCGTTGTCCAGCAGTTTGTAAACAAACAAAATTATCGTGTTCACTTGCCATAGAGGTCAGCTGAAAATGTGCACCTTCGGTTGGCCACCAGAACTCAAGCGCCGGCCATGGTGATGGTGTGGGCCTCCATACCAGCCCATAGTCGCTCTCCGCCCGTATTAATCGACGGTGGCATCAGAATAAGTGCCGAATATTATCGGGAATATATTCTGGAGGGTGTATTAAAGCCTTGGTGACGCAAACATTTTGTCTGCAGACCTTGGACATTCCAACAGGACTCAGCACCATCGCATTTAGTACGCGCCACCCAAGAATGGTTACAAAATTAGGTTCCTCGCTTCATTTCCAGCGCACAATGACCACCAATCTGTTGGACTATTGTGTCTGGAGTATTTTGGAAAGCAAGGTTGGCACTAAAAAATAACAAAGTGTCGATCAGCTCAAGCAAGCGCTTTGCCAGGAATGGACCAAAATACCGCAGATCAACATTCGGGCAGCGGTTGACGGTTTTTTTTTTTGGCCGTCTGAAGACCATAATTCGTTCCAAAGGTGAACAATTCGAACAAATCTAAACTTAATCTAAAATTTGATGTTATTTCCGACATGTTTTGCTTTCATTCAATAAAATTTAAAAAAAAATGTCAAAATTATGGCGTTGACTTTGTTGCAGTTTTTTTTTATCTCACTCTGTATACCCTCTCTAGCCATATGGCTGAGGGTACAAAAAGGAACACAAAAAACAAACTAGTGAGGAGGAACACTAGAGACAGACTGATATACCTAAATCGACAATAAATTTTAAACTGATTATGAAGCCTCTGATAAATATTTCAAGGTGATCTATAGCTTGAAAACTAAACAAATAAAAATTAACATATCAATTTAATTTCATTTGAGCACAAATAGTAGGGAATCTTTATTTTCATCGAATCGTAGTGAAATTTCAAAATACATAAATTTAGAATTTAAGACTCATAATTAAATAAGTGTTTTCTGAACATAATAATATATAAATATATATTTTTAATTTTCAATAAATATTTGTTGATATTAAATAATTTCGTTTTTTTGGATTTACATATATATTAAATCTTAATTAAAAAAACATAATTTGGCATGCAATCTATGTAGTAATTAAATATAATTATAATTTCAGTGGTATTGCTTATATTTCAGGTGTTTCTTGGGAAACTTTGTTTTTTTGTTTTATGAACTTATACATATAAACTACGTACTAAGGTAATTAAAAAAAAAACAACTTATATTTTATATTGGTACGGTATAATATTTCGTAAGTATTGTTGTTGGTTGTATATGCTTGGTAAGAATATTGTATATATTTGCTGTTTGTTTGTTTGTTTTTCGTTTAAAGCGACTCTTTATAAAGGCATTCCAGTCATTTGTTTTCCAGTACCATTTCCATACAACGAGATTAATTTAATCTTTTTTCAGGTGTGATAGTTAAAAGTAATATATTGCAACTCTAAAACTGTCTTTTATTTCCGTCTCATGCAGAATATTGGGGGGGGGGGGTTTCCTATTCGAAACATTTGTACACATGTACAACTCCTTAGAGGAGCTTTGTTACATATGTAGCAGCACCATTTCGTTCCATACAGTTTTTGTTTATTTTTTTCTCAATTTTAGTTCTCTCTCTCTCTCTTCACAGCGTCATTTTAGGCTGTCCTTTTGGGTGTTTTGTTACGTTTGCCCAAAATTTTCATTAGCTGTTTGGACATGTAGTAGGGTTTTTCTGGTGAGCCATCGTGGCGTTCAATGTCTTCAAGGAAGCACAGGAACAGTGTATCCACCGCCATTGAATATACACTGAAGAAGACCGTGGTTATTAGGAAGGCCAAAATAGCCACAATTGCTGTGGGCACAGCATTGTAATGCAGTTGAACAATGGATGGATTATTTAACAAAAAGAAATAAGTAGCTACGCCAGCTGCTCCGGTTATCAATAACTTTGACATGAAGAACAAAAAGTCGGTAACTTTGTCCAGGGTTACAACGCGCAGGAAGTTGCGCATTGTCAAATTGAAAGCATCTTTTGCACTGCTGCAAAAGTTCTTACCATGAATGGCACACATGATGTAGGCATTTTTGCTTAAAAATCTCAAAAATGATTCCAGCAACCAAAAGAAACATTTCATACAGCACAATATGGCCCGGGTCAAGGCATTGTCATATTTTTTCAATTTCCGATCAATGTACTCCAATATCAGGCGTATCAAGCGACATATGGCCAGGATAAGGGAACCAAAGGCCAACGTACCCAAATGATAAAATGTTGTCTGGAAGATTGATTTTGTCAGGGTGAAGAATGGCACATCCTTCTTCTTGAATGTCCAATACCATGTGGCAAATGTACAGGCCAAGACCATATCGCTGAAGCCATCTATGAAGAAAGTCAGCCAGAGGTACCCAAATACATTGAACACAATAAACCAATTGACCAGTGTGGTGTGTTCAACTTCCACGAAACTGCACATGGTCTTGACACAGGGTGTCCTCTGAGATTGGCGGAATGCCCCAAACAGTGTTGTATCACCAATGTAACAATTTTGCTCAAATGTTGTTGGATCACATGCGGCTCCCACGGTATAATTCACGGCTGGTCCATCGCATATGCAATTCTCTTGAGACACTCCAGTTAGGCTGTTCGCATCTAATTGTCTTATCATACGGAAGGAGTTTTTACCAATCGAACCCAGATACAGGCCAACGCCAACAGCATATACAATTGCCGCTATAAAGAGTATCCACACAAAGATGGGAAAGAAGACGGTGGATTTGACACTGGACACAGCTTTGCTGCCCTCTTTGATAAGGGCTACGGCTATGCTTATCCGGCTACGCAGTACTATGAGCAATAGAATGAGTATGACAAGGAAAACACAAAGGAATATGCTTAGGTAAAGCCATAAACGTTCATCCTGAAAGAGAGAAAGAAAAATGGAAAAAAATTATTTAGGTGTTGATAAGTAAAATAGTATCAGTCGGGTTTTCCGACAGATGTATACCCACCCGTCTTGAGTTATGATTAATCAAACGGTTCACCCTTTAAGGGGGAGGTTCCGAATCAGATGGCCAATATTGAACAATTCGTATCTGACCTAAGACTGATATTAAAACGTACCAGATTTTCACTATATCGACTACTTCCTATACTTTATATGAGAGATTAGAGAATGTGGAAATACCTTATCTAATACTGTTAAAAATATTGGTATATGCAAAATTTGAAGGAGATCATTTATATCCGCTACCAGAAGAAATGGTCAGATCTCTACCTACTTCATAACAAATCTTGTGTTAATGGAAATATTGAGATGTGCCAAGTTTAAATGGAATCGGATGTTAATTTGTGTTTTATGAGCTTCATGAATATTACCAGAAGGAGTGGACAGGGATATACGGTCCACCAGACCTTGGGTTAATAAATTTATTGTGATGTGTGTAATTTGAAGAGAACCAGGTGGTCATTCAAAATCTTGACCCTTTGTGGGGGAGGTACCAGAAGAAATGGTCCGATTTCCACCATCTTTAAAACAGATCTTGTGTTGGTGGAAATATTGAGATGTGCCAAGACTGAATGGAATCGGATGTAAATGTTGCGATTTATGAGCTTCATAAATATTCAAAATGTTGACCCTTTGTGGGGGAGGTACCAGAAGGCGTGGACCGACGTATTCCATATCCACACCAGATCTTGTGCAAATAAAAATATTGTGATGTGTGCAATTTGAAGAGAGTTGGAGGCATATTTTGGTTTTTATGATCGTTTTTGGTTATTCAAAACTTTGACCCTTTGTGGGGGAGGTACCAGAAGGAATGGTCCGATTTCCACCATCTTTAAAACAGATCTAGTGTTGGTGGAAATATTGAGATGTACCAAATCTGAATGGAATTTTTTTTTTGTTAATTTCGCGTTTTATGCTCTATGGTAACTCAAGATTTTGACCCTTTGTGGGGGAAGTG